GGCTAATCTTCCACAAATAGTTGATTTGTGTAAAGCCACTTGAAGCATGACAGTCATCTGTTATAGCTGCTAGCTTTACCCTAACTCATATATGAAAGTGTTATTTTGCGTAGGCATAATTTCTAGGATTCTAAGAGAGAAATAAGATATGCAGAAGGTAAAGCAACCCACACCAGCCCTATTTGATTGTTTCCTGAAGAAAGAGATCAGAGAAAAAATTCTTAAGTTCTAGAATAGGAGCAAAGCTGTCACGTGGCTTCTGACTTGCTCTCGGCAGTGAGGGGGTGAGTCATGAGAGAGAGCAAATGAGAAGAGACTTTTAGGTGCTAGAAAAAGAAAGGGTAGAGGACATGGTAACAATAGCTATATGCCATTTCCCATGCCATTTTGGATCATGTGAATTCCATAGGTACTTACCCACTTAGGATTGAAATGGACTTGTGGGACTAAAATTCACTCAAGTAAAAAGATTTAGCATTTCGGGCTGTTACAGACACTAACAATTATCTGGCCAAACTCTCTCATTCTGCAGAGATTTCATTAACTTCCCAGGATTCTTAGTGGCAGAACCAAGGGAAGAATTGAGCTCTCCCAACCTCTCTTCTACCATCTAACATTTCTTTCTACCATCTAACATTTTTAACTTATTTTTAATCTTTCAGGCACTTGCTTATAAATATCATTTCCTTCTCTCATATTTCATACCCAGAACTTACTACAGAGGTTAAGGACGCTGAACTTGGCTCTACTGTCAATATTTTAAGAATTCTGACAGCTTTATGGACTAGATTTCTACAATAATACGGGATTCATTTATCCACAAGAAACTACAGGTAGAGAAAATAATCCCCAAACCCTCTTTTTTCATGAAAGAATGTGTGAAGTTCAGACAGGACTGAGCAATGGAAGGCTCCCGGGCCTAATGGAGTGCTTACTGAGATTATTGATCCTGACACAGCACATTGATTGGGCATCTGACGCCACGCTCTGTAATGTCTAGCCAGGAGAAGAAGCATAGCACCTATACAGGAACAGATAAAAGATGTCCCCAATGTCACCTGCTGTGACCACAAGTTTCCAAAAGGGATTATGACAGTGAAGCATCTCTTGAACGTTGGTTCCCAGGAATATACGGTCAACTATTCACCTTGGTAAGAGCCAGGAGAGCATCTCAGATATTTCCACTCTAGAGTCGCATGCAGTTTTAATATAGAGGTTTGCCTGGTTTTGCTTTTTCACTATTCATTTATTTGTTACTATGTATTGCCAACTGAAGAAAAGTTAAAGAAATAGAGACTTTTAGGAAGTCCTTTAGTATAATGAGGGTTTCTTCCACCAGTCATGTAAGACTCCAACTCTAAAAGGGTCTGAATGGATAAAATTAGACAGATCATACATTAGAACAGCAGCATGTCACCGTGACTTGAGTTACATGGCCTGGGTTCAAATTCTCATATTAGAGCTTAATGGCTGTGCCTTTGGGAAAGTTATAGCTTATTTGTGCTTCAGTTTCCTCAACTATGGGATGGGGATAATTAATAGTAGCTACTCCATAGGATTAAATGAGTTTGTATTTTTAAAGTGCTTAGAATAGTGACTGGCCCCTAACAAATGATATGAAAACCTTTTAAAAAAAACAAAAACAAAAAACACCAAGGGGCCAGCACTGTGGTGTAGCAGTTAAGCTCGAGCGCTCCACTTTGGTGACCTGGATTTCACAGGTTTGGATCCTAGGCAAGGACCTACACACCACTTATCAAGCCATGCTGTGACAGGCATCCCACATATAAAGTAGAGGAAGATGGGCACAGATATCAGCTCAGGGCCAATCTGCCTCAGCAAAAAGAGGAGGATTGGTGGCAGATGTTAGTTCAGGGCTCATCTTCCTCCAAAAAAAAAAAACCAACATAGTTTCCTGGGTCAACCTAGGGGCACATCAGACTTCATTACTATTTAAGTGCTTCCGGGCAGACAGTGTCAGGAATAAGGTGACTCAGGCTGCCCCCAGGTCAAAAGATAATAATAAGCCATTGGGTTTGTCAAAACCAAAATGGTGTCTAAATATCATTAGAAAAGTCTTTACATCCTACTAACCTCCTCAAATAAACCTGTGAAAACCAAGAAATAATTCATCTTTCACGTCTAAGAACAGAAAATACGAGACCAGTGAACCTCCTTAATAGAGATACTTAACCTCAGGTTAGCTACCCTTGCCACTCAGCAGGCTCCTCCAACCACAATTACTGTGTATTCAGGGAATGCCAAGCAATTAACCTGAGAAAATATGAATAAAAAGGTAAGTCTCCTGAAGGTGAAAAACCATACAATGCTCTCCAAAATGAGTCCTCCCTGTATGAATTATAATCTTCATTGATTCTCTCATTCCCCCCTCCCTTGTCAGGACGGCCAATCAAAAGTTGGCCATACACAATTTTTATATAATGCTAAATGTTCCTGAAGGATATGAGAAAATAACTGAGCTAAATATGGAGATACCAAAATAGCAGTCAAAATGAGGTACCACAGGAAGGCAATAAATGAAAAAATATGATGAGGAATGAAAAAGAATCAGAGACGAACTCAAACAAAAACCACGTACCCAACTTAAAGGAAAAAAAAATAGCGACAGTCAGGAACAGCTATATAACTCGTGGGGCCCAGTGCAAAAAGAACAGGCAGAGGTCCTTGTTCAAACCTTATTAAAAATTTCAAGATGGCAACCGCAGAGCATTAACCCAAGCATGAGGCCGTCCAAGTGTGGGGTGCATGTAACTGAACAGGTGTCACGCTCATGAAGCCTGCCATAGTTATGAAGGCATGAGCTTATAAGAAAAATGAAGATAAATAAAGATAAGCAGATGAATTCAGATGAAAGTCTAGGAATATTTAAGGGGATGGAAAAGGAGATATGGGAAGACCTGATAAAAGGTATGAGATTACAGAAATGGCAGGAAAAGAGAGAGGAGTAGGAAAAAAAGATGAAGGCGAGAACAGATAAGAAAGACTAAAGCGAGAGGCTGGCCCGGTGGCACAGGGGTTAAGTTCACACTCTCTGCTTTGTTGGCCCACGGTTCACATGTTTGGATCCTGGGTGTGGACCTACGCACCGCTTATAAGCCATGCTGTGGCAGGTGTCTCACATATAAAGTAGAGGAAGATGAGCACGGATGTTAGTTCAGGGCCACTTTTCCTCAGCAAAAAGAGGAGGATTGGTGGCAGATGTTAACTCATGGTTAACCTTCCTCAAAAAAAAAAAAAGAAAGAAAGACTAAAGTGAGAAGACAAACCTGAGTCATCTCAAATTGCCAAGGGCACAATAGAAATATGGACCAAAAGCAGCAAGTCCATATTTGGGTCACCACATCAAGCAACCAACAGGTTGGTACTGTGTGCCCTCATCCAAGGAAATGATGACTCTGGTTGCCCAAGGAGCCTACTTAGAAGCTGGAGGAGGAGGGATTGTGAAAAGCACAACGACTAAATGTTATGGAAAAGTTCTCTCAAAGTCCTTTGAGCAGGAAATCTGTTTTGTGGGTCAATCTGTTTTTTTAGAATAAAGAGGACATCTGACATTGAAACCATACTACCATGGCTAGCTTTTCAAATGACGGAAGAAATAGGGCACTTGAACAAGAACAGACAAAACTCTTCATTACGAAACATTGCTTTATATTACACAGAACTCAGGCGTTGGATAGCTGTTATATAAACGATAGCTAAAATGGATCGCCAGCCACTACACACAGCCAGAGAGAACAAAGAGCCAACTCACAAAACAGCGTTCATTCATGTTTGTATTGCGAACAATAATCGAAACAATTAACTACTGGTTGAAGTACATGCTTTGATGTTTAAAAAAAATTCCAGTGTACATATGTGTATCAAATGAGTTGAGCCATCCAAGTCCATTACCTTGAAAAATTATACTTGCAGGGTGGTGAGCATGATATAATCTACACAGGAATTGAAATATAAAGATGTACACCTGAAATTTATGTAACGTTATAAACCAATGTTATCGCAACAAAAAAAATTATACTTGCAGCCCAATAAAGCTGCAGTTGCTCAAAAAATTTCTAGAATTGCCTTTCTTCATGGATTATTTTTAACCCCCAAGAGTTTTGCGTTGTTCTTTTTTAATCAAAATCTAGAGAGTAAGCTGTCAGTTCTGAAGGGATGGCAAAAAGAGAATTCACACAAATAAATACAATACATATATAATATAAATACGTAAAAGAATTCACAAGATGTTTGAAAGTGATGACACGATTATCCTGCACCACATGCCCGTAATATACAAATCTATGGAATTAGAGAAATTTAAAACTGGAAACAACCTCAAAGACCATATAATCTAGCCTATAGCTTCCTATTAAATGGATGAAGAAACTGAGGCCCCACTAGACCTGCCCAAGGTTCCACGTTTGGCTCATGAAGAGGCATGACTAGAATTGAACTCACATTTTTCCTTACCCAGTGGTCTTTCCACACCACTGGGAACCATTTGCCAAAAGTGTATGACCTTCTAGAAAGTCACTGAGAACCACAGGTATCATCCACAAATGTGCTGATGGTTACCATTTCTGAAAGGCAAGTCAGTCCGTCCTGGTTGTCATGGCAATAACTCTTCATACTCACAGCCTAGTGATTGCACATGTAAAATGCAGCCAACCCAGACGGGAACAAGCCTTATTAAAACAACATTCTAAAAATGGCACGGCTTACCTGCTTTGCCCATTCTGAGTTCCAGAATCTTGACTGTAATTGTCATCTAAGTTCAATTTAGTCCAGATATCTATATTTAAGAGTATCGAGAGATATTCTTTGTCTTGGAACGTTAGAGGAAAGAAAATGGTTGATAATAACTGAACCCAACATCACGAAATTGAAATTTAAAAGGTTACTGTACATTCATTAGCATAATTACACAAAAAAACTATAAATAAACAATGAGACTCTAGTATTAAATCTTCTCACTACGAATTAATGAAGCCTCTTACCTCTCTTTACTTCTTTCTCTTACTGTCCATTTTTTCCTGATCCCACGCTGTTGGTTTCCCCTGCAAGTATAAGTTAAGGTCAATTTCTGGTATGGGAGCACTAACACAGACTCTCTGTCTACGATCGCTCAGAATTCAGATTCAAAATAACAGAGCTCTTTCCCTGAGATGTTTCCTAAGGAGATGTTTTGCCCTCTGCAATGCAATCTGAAAAAAGTGCCAACAACCAGCTACTAGAAATGTGTTTTCTATTCTAACTTGAAAATGTCATTCTCGAAGTTTCTACCCAACACGTCTCTGTAGGCAGAGAAATTTCCAAGTCAAGCCCAACCTGAAAACTGACCCCCCATAGGAGAGAAGCAGGAATCCTATGAGACCCCTTAAGTGCTGCCACGTAAGATTTTTCCCATTCGAACATTCCATGATACGCAAGGGCTAGTCCAAACATTTCAAACATGGATGCAAGTCTTCTGTATCACAGCATGGTTTTTAAATAAATTTTCTCTGTGGTTATGTCGATGTCGAACAGCTGGGCCATGACACGTTTGTGTGATCCATCGCCACACCAGCTCTCAGAAGAGAACAATCACTACCTAAAACCCCAAATTTCCCAAGACATTCAGCATCCACAGGATGACACCCGACATTACATCTCCTAACTAACCCGCTTCCTCTCCCTGTCTCACCCACTCACGGTGCTTTCTGAAACTTCAGATCTATGACCAACAAACTCACTCATGCTCTCAGTTCTCCTTTGAATGTCCCTCTGTCCCTATGCTAATCTGAAATTGTTCTCTGCACCTGCCTCGGACCGGAAAAGAGCCTGGTGTTCTTTTTGATCCACATTGCTGCTTCTAAACTATTGATTTCTTCAAAAGCTTTTAAAACCCACGTTTCCCTTGAAGTTCTGCCTTCCGGCTGTGCCACTCATTCTCTTCTGGCTCTCTCTACGGTCCTATTTATACGGACCTCCTATTTATTGAAGACGTTGTTACCAGACTACCTACATGCATTCCAGCCCTACACCATTCATCATTCCTTGGAACTTGAGCAGCCATATGCATGATTTATCAAAAACTTGGGTTTACCAGATCTTTGATTTCACTTTCAAATACTTCTCTTCCACCTTAGCCACCCACTCCTGTCATTACAACTGAGACGTCGCATTTGTCAGTAAATGCATCACCACCAAAATCTCCGTGTGAAACATCTCACTCAGATCCTTCTCTTCTTCCAGCTCACTCACTGTAGAACATCCACCTCATTAATTTATCTACTGTGATCTCCATCCATGGCCTCATTACTTTTCCACCCCCTTCCTGTCTTCCCTTTCCTTCTCAGTCAAGCTAGAATCCGTGGTCCATGACTACAATCATGCTCTTAGAACACCCTCAATGTCCCCATCACATCTTGCTCTATTGTATGTAACTGAAAAACAAAACAAAAGTCTTTTTTCTGCGCTCTTCCTTTTGTCTGCCTGCCACACAGCAGCTGGATATTGCTAGCAAATATCACACATTGGCTTATTCATTTCACCTTAATTTCATGATAAAAAATCTAACAGGATCAGTCACCAATTCCCAACAACCTTACAACTCTTCCCAAGTAAGTCCATTTTCCCACTTGCCAAGACAACTTCCTTTCTCTGCAAACCTCCTCTCTATGCTCTCAGATGAGGATTTTGCCTCAAAGTCATTGAAAAAAATAGAAAGTACTAGATTAGAATTCCTTCATAGTGCCACCATCAACTCTACAAATGTTTCCTCTGCCTTCAGTTTTGAAAACGTCTATACACCTGTCAAAAACAGTTGTTTCCACAAATACTTTTGCTCTCTCTCACCTTCTCAAGGATTTCACAGCTGCAGTAGTCTCGTCATGCGCTGCTACCCATCCACTATCTCTGCTAGATCATTTCCATCGGTCTGCAAATATTTTTTCTATCTCCTATCTTTAAAAAAAGAAAACTCCCTTGACCTCATACCACCAACCCAGCAAACACTTTCTTTTTCTCCTTCTTTCCACAGCAACAGCAAAACTCCTTGAATGAGTTGTCTAGATCTGCTTCCTTATTTTCAATTCACTGTTCAAACTTTCCGATCTATTAGGTCACCAAACACCTTTTGTTGGCAAATCCTTGCTCATTTTTTTCTTCTTCTCACACTTATTTCTTCAGCAGCATCCTGTGATGGTCACATTCAGTCCCACACTTTTAAATACCATCTACAATAAGAACCGAAATTTACACCTAGATCTGAGTCCAGATCTCGCTGTTTCCTACTTGAAAACTTCTCTTGAATGTGTAACAGGCATCTCATAAGATAAAAACATAGCTCTTTCCCCAAGTCTTTCCCACTCCAGGAAACAGAACCACTGAGTTGTTCAAGCTGAAGTCAGTGATTCCTTTCCCCATAACTTCTAATCCATGTGCAAGTCCTGTTGGTTCTGGCTCCAAAACACATTGCAAGTCAATTCCCTGCTCTCCATTTGCATTTCCACCATATTCCAGGACACCACCATCTCCCCCTAGGACTGTTCCAGCATCTCTGAGTTGGTTTTTTGTTTCATCTCACTTCCACAACACCGACTACCCACGCTCCACAAAATAGCCAGATATTTTTTAACGTAAGTTAGATTGTGTTACCCCTTGCTTAAAACCCTCCAACAGCATCCCATTTCTCTCAGAATAAAGCCACATTCCTAACCATCCTCCTCTTCCACCTCTCTCCACACAATTTACCCCTTTAGTCGCTATGGTCCTTCCCATTGCTTCCACACACCAAACCTTTTCTTACTGCTAAGCCTTTGCATTTGCTGGTCTTTCTACTTGAAATACTTCCTCTCTACTACCTCTGTCCTCCATCCTTGCACTTGACTGGCTTATTCTCATTCTTAAAGTTTAGCACAAACATCACCTCCTCAGAGAAGTCTTCACCACCTCCGTCTGGAATGGCCTCCCACAGCTCCTGTTTGTCTCATTACTCTGTTCATTTTTCCTCAACCCTTATTACAGCCTGTAACTACCTTGTTTATGTGTTTACTTGCTTTTTCATTGTCTTGTCTTCCTCATCACAGCTTAAGCTTCCCGGAGGGACTCTGTCATGGTCCCTGTGAATCTTCTGCACCTAATACATTGGCACATTGTAGGAACTCACTAACAATCTGCTGAAGAAATGAACGAATTCTTGCCTGATACATTTCATCCGGAATCTATACATTGAGGCTATCTGACGAATAATTGAGGATATGACTTAGATTTTCCATATGCTTAATTTTCAAAAGTATGCATTACACCTGATTTTAAAGTTTTGGGTTTAAAGATAGTTGTAACGTTGTTAATAGCATCTTTATGGAGACTGTTATTTGCTTGGAATGTTTGAATATTTTTACTACCTAGATTTAGATAACTATCTGATATCCAAGGGGGTTGCAGTACATAAGCATAATGCTAATAACTAACGTTTGCAGAGAGCTTCCTAGGTGACAAGCACTGCTCGAACCTCATTATGAACACCAAACCGAAGACACAATTATCGTACCTATTTTATGGATGAGGAAGTCCTTCATGCCTTCTGATTTGAAGCAGTTTCAAATAAAGGGATGTTTTCTAATTCTTTTCATTAGGACTCAGTAGTAATAATTATCAGGAATGACTGAAAAAACAGTACTAGGATCTCTTCTCCAGATCACACAAGTTGAAAAGGCCTTCCATAATCTTGATTTGAAAAGATTTCTGTCTTTGGCATAATAAAGCACATAATGTATTTAAGCCAACAAAACCAAATGCTTAAATCAAATATTTAAATGTTGGTTTACATGCATTTTCTCTCTCTGTATAATAACAGAGAGCATCCTTTGATCAGAGGCTTTCCTTTCTTTCCCTCTGGGTCCAATGTCAGGCCAGCCCATTTCACAGACAATACTACTGAGATAGACAGCAGCAGCTAATGTGGTATTGATTACTCTATGACACTACATATCAAATACTCCAATAAGTGGTTCTCCCTGGTCCCTCTGGGTCTGGGGTTGGAGGGAGCCCTAGCTGCCAGCAGAGTGGGAGTTAGACTACCTCTCCATCACTGCGCCCCTATGTGTATCTCAAAAAGCAAGACTCTACTATCAACAATACCATGAAGGATGTGGACTAGGCTGCAGATAGAGTCCTATTGAAGACTACTCACAAATAATTACAGGTTCTGGTTTGTTATGCGAAACATATACATAATATTAATGTTTTTATATTTTAAAAGAAAAATGAGTTTTATAGCTTGAATCTTTATTAACAGATCCCAGTGGTCTTAATTTTTACAACTCTAATAAATAACTTTGAAGGGCTAACATATTATATTTATATAACAATGTAAAATTAATAGGTGATTGTGAGGGGAAAGGAAGAATGCTTTTTAAATCCCCACCTTTTCTTTGAATAGAAAAAGCATCTATATTGTTAGCTCAGGGACAGTCTTTCTCAAGCAAAAAGAGGAATGGGGCCAGCCTGGTGGCGGAGCGGTTAAGTTTGCATGCTCCACTTTGGCGGCCCGGGGTTTGCCGGCTCAGATCTCGGGCGCAGACATATGCACTGCTTATCAAGCCATGCAGAGGCAGGCGTCCCACATATAAAGTAGAGGAAGATGGGCATGGATGTTAGCTCAGGGCTAATCTTTCTCGCCAAAAAACAAAAAAGCATCTGGATTCAGCAAAGGAGTGCCGGATCTTGACAAAGAGGTAGCTATTCAATAACGTCACACATCACCCTAGGGCATGCCCCTTAGCATCCCCAACTCCTCGTCCCATGTTCCTGAAAGCATCCCTCTATTTGTCCTTGATACGCACCGTCGTACATCTTCTTAGCCCACCCCTGACTTCAGCCACTATGGCAGAAACCGGTCCTCTGCAGGCTTCCACCAGTTTCCAAAATGCAATCTGACAGCAGCCCTCCTTGGCCCGTTACGTCTTACCCCTCAGTCCTGCGCCAGGGCTTTTGTGCAGCCGATCGTGGCTCAGGCACGCACCATCTTGAGAGCAGCACAGTTACTGCCTGTGGGGCCAGCATCAACCACGGA